ACGTATGAGGTTCCCACACGAAGATCTGACATCTACACATCCTATGACTGCTTGGTTTCTTGGTCTCACCATAGGGACCACACAAACTGTGAGGGGCCCAACAACCCTTAGGGCACTTTACCACCATAGAGAGATGTAGACACATCAAGCTAAATTGATTCTGATAAAACTCTCTTAACATAACAAATTACCAGATACAAAATATATATATACACACTGTAATCGTTAATACTAGAGCCATCGAAAAGTAAATAACTTATGATAGATCAGATTTTCATACTTCGAGCAGATTAAACAACCATCACTGAAGCAGAGCCTTCAAATTTGCAGAGGGTATTATAACATGAAATTCATCTTCATGGATAGGACTATACCTTGATATTATATTATTAGATGATATTAAAAGGGGTCATTAACTGAGAAATCACATTTTCGATATGATATATTATATACACAGCGGTCATTATAGTATCAGAACTGAAAACTTTCTTGTTAGTCCAAAACCAGTTTTTAATGTAACCAAGCCCAGCGAACGACTCGTAGTGGAATGTAGAATCTAGAAGAAAATCAACGCCTACTTCATCATCACAACTTTGGCCCCTCCCACTAGCGTGTTAGTTTGATAGCGTAGCGAGAAGTGCGATACAGGATCACTGGACTAAAAATAGCATTACCTTCCAAAGGATCCTAATGCTAGGAATTGTTCAACAATGTGAATGTCTCAGTTGAGCATTATCTATTTGTTTTCGGTACATTTCACTGTGGATTCTTTAGAAAATCAGTCGCAATTTCATGTGCAAAGATGTTAGTCAATCACAGCAGTGTGTGTTTACACTGAAATCTCACAGCAGACACGCCCATTCAAACAGAGGGTTCAAATCAGAGGAATAAATCAGGGTAGGAAAAATGCCTTTTATTTCTAAATTATGACAATTTTTTTAATGTAAAAATCATATTAACATTATAAGTTAATATAACATTATAAGTGCACCCCTGAAAACACTATCAAACAATAAAACAATGCAGTTCATGACCCCTTGAGGAGATATAAAGAGTGCATTTCCATTTCATTTGTTGAATTTGTTTCTTGTCCAAGCTTTATCGAAGATAACGTCAGTAGACTATGGAGTGCCGCAAGGATCGGTGTTAGGCCCTCTGCTATTCTCAATATATATGCTGCCACTTGGTAATATTATAAGAAAACATGGAATTAATTTCCACTGTTATGCTGATGACACTGAATTATATATTTCATCACGACCAGATGAAAACACTAACTCATCTAAATTGACAGAGTGTCTCAAAGAAATAAAATGCTGGATGACATGTAATTTCCTGCTATTAGATTCAGATAAAACGGAGGTATTACTTATTGGTCCAAAAAACTACCCACAAAACCTCTTACAATACAACTTTAATTTAGAAGGATATCCTGTTACTTTATCCACCACAGTAAAAGACCTGGTGTTATACTAGACCGCAACTTTCGAACATCATATTTCATATGTTACAAGAACAGCCTTTTTCCACCTTAGAAACATTGCAAAGCTACGTAATATGCTATCTGTTTCGTATGCAGAAAAGTTAGTTCATGCATTCATGACATTGAAACTAGATTACTGTAATGCTTTATTAGCTGGTTGTCCTGCATCCTCAATAAACAAGTTACAGTTAGGGCAAATCTAAATCTAGGTCAAGAAAATATGATCGTATAACACCAATTTTATCATCTGGTTACCTATTAAGTTCTGTATCAATTACAAAGTACTACTACTGACCTATAAATCTCTAAATAGTGTATTTAATGGACCTTCTATCACCCTACAATCCATCACGTTCTTTAAGATCACTAAATTCGAGACTTCTGGTCATTCCTATGATATGACCAGAAGTCCACTAAAGGAGGGAGGGTGTTCTCTCATTTAGCTCCTAAACTCAGGAATAGCCTTCCTGATATGGTTCGAGGCTCAGACTCGCTGTCCCAGTTTAAATGCATTTTTTTCCATGTACATTTCTGAAATGCACTTTCTATAAAGACGCTTTAAAACAATATTTATTGTGAAAAGTGCTATACAAATAAATTTGAATTGAATTGAATTAACAAAGATACATCTAAACATATTCCATAAATTTTGCTTATTTCCAACATGACATCATGACTTTTGCGTAAACATACACGCCACTTTCAAGTCAAGTGGCGTGTTATCTATACACATTTTCAGCTATCCGCGTGTATGCGTGTATGTCTACGCCATTAATATCTGATTGATTTCGCGTGTATGTACACGCCGTTAAATGTCCGAGCGAAACGAAGCAAAATGTAGATCTACATCTGGGGAGCGATTTTTTTTTCCTAGGATGGTAAGGGAAAACTCATAAATGCTATTAACCCCAGTGACGGGTAGGTTTAGGGACGGTGTTGGGGTAGGTCATATATTTATATATACAGTAATGTAACGTTAAGTCAACGGCGTTCATAAACACGCTGAAAAGTGATTATGCGTGTTGATAGCATGCCAAAAATGGAAATACGAATTGGCTTGTCGTACACACGCAATTTCATGAGATCAGTCTGTAATTTCAAACACCACTTCATTACTTTGCTCCTAAGATTTAAGCTTTAACTTGAGAGGTGACTTATTTTGTATAGCAAAATCTGATGGAAATAATATGGATATAGTTTATTTGTTACCATCTACTCACATGTACATTTATTTTGTATTGTTGCTATTAAATGTCCAATATAAGGTTCAATAACGTGATTACACTCAGAAGAAAGCTAGAGCGGGATGTGAGCGATGTTAATCTGGTGAGGTCTGAATGATGACAGCTAAAGCTCTGTTTGACTAACATGTCAAAGTTTCACCCAAACAGAGGAAATGCCACACAGGAACTACTGACACTGGGATCAGGCCGCTTTAGAATGAACGATTTAGCATTTCTCATGGGACAGAGGGAAAGCGAAAGGGAAAGAGCGACAGTTTGTAGCTGTCATTGGCGGGGCATGGTCGGCCTTTCTCACTGTTCTCTGCGAGTATAGAAGTTCTAAAGTTTTCTTTCTCTCTATTCAGGAGGTGCCTTGGACCATGGGCTTTTTCCCCACTGTTAGTATTACAAAATCCCTATTCAGTATAACCCTTGTCACCTGTCAACTAAGCCAGGCTGGTTTTCTAGGTCTTTATCCCCTACACACACTGAGAGAGAAAATAAAATGAGCAGCTAAGCTTAAACCCTGCCCCCATTTGATGCGTGCACGCACACACACACGCACACACTAAAACTGCATGTCTCAGAGCTGCTACTCTAGCAGATTAAAATTCATTACCCTGTTCTATTTAAGAAACGTTTACATTGCGTTGGTTATTGTTGGTCATTCATTAGGTGGTTAGGGGAGTTCACATGGGTCCCCCAGGGTGGTCAGAACCTAATCGTCATATCCAACCATTTTACAGCATCTTCGCATAAACACAGAATGTGAGGGCCATTTCAAGAAACATGTATCATATATTGTTATTCTCATATTCCTCTGTTTATTTGTTCCCCAACAATGTATGTGTTGCATTTATTTCATCACTGGTTCACCACTGTGCTCTCAGCTGCATTCGTATTTGGTAACACTTTATTTTGATAGTCTACTTTAGACATTCTACTTACTATAAATAACTTTGCAACTACATGTCAACTACTAGTCATTTGATTTTTATCAAACGGTCTGCTTAATGTCTGCTAACAATTTATTTTGATGGTCCTTCAACAGAAATTCCACTGACTATAAGTAACTTTGCAGTCATGACCCAAACCCAGTAATACTGAGTTAGTTGAGTTATGTAGTTGAAAATTAATGAGTTAGTTGACATGTAGTTGCAAAGTTACTTGTTAGTGGAATATCAAGATATATAATATTGAATATTGAATGACAATCGAAATAAAGCTTAACCAGTGTTTGAGTTCAAAGAATTCTGACTTTAAATCAAAGATTATCTTACAATATCTTTCAAGTAAATTTGTTTTCACAATTGTTTGTTAGCTATAAAACACGCAAAATTCTTTATGCCATCACAACTTTAATGGCATACAATGCCGTTCTGATGCATATCTGACTCACATGCCAAATTCTGATGATTGTTTTTGCAGATTAGCTTTAATCAGGTGGCCAATGTTATGAACACACGTAAAAATATAAATATATTAAGTTGTTTTATAGACCTGTGTGGCTAGCGTAGGCATCAGGACAAGCACAAAGACAGATATACAAAAGCAAAGGATAGACCCACCCTGAAGCATGACGTCACTAGAGACCAAATCTCTCCCCACTTTCTGAATACAAAACATGCAAACTGTTGTAGCCACAAAAAACAACAACACAAATAACTACTACACAATATAAAATACTTTTCATTTAAAATATAGCTTGTATTGTCTTATTTAAAATGTCATTACATTTTTAAACTTAATGAAAACTGCTAAATAAAAACTTACAGAGCATATTTGCAAAGTGATTTGGAAAAGTTGTGTTACTCATTGCTGAGATCAAAAACGACAATAAGCTACGAACATGACATATTTCATCATATATTTCTTAGATGTTCAGCATTTGGATAAAGTCTTTAAATTACAATCAATTGAAATGGTTTTACTATTTAAAATTAAAATAACCTTCTAGTTGGAGACTTGAAATATTCTAAATGAATTACGAACAAACACACAGACACATTGTCTGTGCAATTTTTAATTATATATTTTATCACCAATTTTTTAATTACTTTTTTTTAACCTCTATAGATTAGATGTTTCTAAATCTATTAATGATCCTTGAATCCAATGCTGATCAAAATCCCAAAACAATATAGACCACTTTTTTTTAGCTTAAAAGCTTACTAATTCCCTCTGATTACATTTGTAATATGTATGCAGTCCTGCAACATGATGCCAACATTAAAAAAAAAAAAAAAATAGTGTGCAGTTAAACTTTATATAGCAAAATTTTAAAGGCTCTGTACCTGGTGTCAAAGGCTGCCATGAAAATCGGGTATAGCACATTTCCGTGGCGGTCAAGAGGGAGCCTGTCCAACAGCTGCTCAAACTGAGGGTCGGAAATCTCCAGGCCAAACCTGCGGAGAAGGTCAGGGGAAGGTCAGCACCAGATCACTGATGTCACCACAGGCAGAGAGTCCACTCATCAGGACCGGCCAGTCCAGCAGGTCTTAAGCATACGCCACTCATTGACCCTCTCGCACACTGCAGAGTCAAGAGGTCATAAGGTCAACTGCCCTCTTCCCCCGGGCATCGCACAGAGCTGGACACACACTGGCCAGTCAATCAAAGGATTAGACTTCACATACACGTATACACACCCTCAAATATTCACTCGCACAAACTACAACCTTCACTCGCTCCAGAAAACACAGATAAAGACAAATGAACTTATCAAAGATTATGAATAAAAATGTGAGATTGTCCTTCAGATCTGACAGACATGCTCCACACTGACTACAATACTACATACTCAAATAAAGAGGATTATGGTGAGGTAAATGTGTTTTACACGACAGAGAGAAAAGACAGGGGTGTTTCAAACTTCAATGATATGAGTAAATTAGGTTCTCACTTAGTTTAGACGCTAATAAGGAAGGGTCTTTTTTGAGGGGGCAGCAGTCTCAGTAATGGCTTACTTAGTCCCGTAGGCAAGATAAGACCGAAAATACACATGACCGAAAAAAATACTTTTTAACAACTAGTCACACATGCCAGTCTAGTACAGTGGTTTCCAACCAGGGGGCCGGAGCCCAATAGGGAGCATCACCACACTTTAATTAAAGCCATCATGTGCCCCCTTTGAAGACAAACTTTAAAATAGCAACAAAAAAAAAAACAAAAAAGTAAATGTAAGCTTACATTGTATTTCACAACTTAATTTAACTGTCATTTTTATTTATAAACCATGATTTTTACAGTATCGGAAAAACTAAATGATGGAATTTTAATTTCTACCTGGAAATGTCATGAAAATTAAAAAAAAAAAAATTATAATGAGTAGAATTTTTTTTTATGTCAATCTCAAATATTTTATTGGGTAGACATTGCTGAGAAATTGCAATTTGTGAGTAAAACAAAAGAAAATAAAAAGAAAAAAGAAAAAAAAACACTAAAGAACATTGTTACTGAGAGTTATGCAATTTAATACTTTATAATTATTTTATTTCATTATTTGTATATATTGTCACTCCTAGTTTCTGTCAAAAATGTGTTTTTGAAAATGAGCACCTTTGTCATAACAACAGAAGTACCAGAATAGTCCATGGAGTCAAAAAGGTTGAGAACGACTGGTCTAGTGTTCTTCTAATCCAATGATAAATGCCTGTTGTGTCATTTTGATGTGTTTCGTATCACCAAATCTACTGATGATGACAGTATTTTTAAAGTAAAAATGCTGAAAGTGAGACTCGATCAGGCCATGTCAAGTGAATATGTGGGATTTCTGCCACAACATTTTAGACAAACATTTTTTCCCTACAATAATCATAATCATGCAGCTTAATTAGATTTATTTTAGAAGCTGCATTCAAACTACGCTAATCTGAGGAGTTACATGAGAGACATTAAAGAGAAAATGATTTCATGAAAGATAATAAAGATGAAAAATGTACCTGCTCTCCATTGCAGCTCTAAATTCTTCTTTACTTATGGTCCCCTTATTAAGCTTGTCAATGTTCCTATACAAATACATAGACACACACATAGAAAGAAACACATATTTTGAAAAATAAAAACTTACATTATTTTTTCAACAAGTATAATAGTGCATTAGCTGTAGGTAAGTAAGAGAATGGTCTTTAGAAACTCAAGAGAAATGCTTCAAGTTAGAGGATTTGGAGTTGAGGGAGTTCTAAAGGAAACTCATTTGAGCAGAAGTGTTTCTATGATGAGGTTCTTGGTGACAATGGAAAGGTATAATTAAAAAGACCAAAAAAAAACGTGTCAACCTTTGACCCAAAAGGAAGTAAAACACTGTGTGTTAAAAGAGAGAGAAAAGATATGTGTTCTCAATTTGGGTGTTAATGGGGTCTTGTTCACAAGGAGAAAAGAGGAAAAAGAGTAGAAGGAAGAAAGAGAGAGAGAGAGAGAGAGAACGAGATTGTACTCACTGAAAGGTCTGGAGGAGGGAGAGGTATTCTGACTGAAACAGGCGAGTTAATTTGGCCTCTATGGCACTTAAGGAGGAAGCACATCGGATGCTCTCATCAGAATGAAACCTACAGAAAAAAAAATCAGTTTTTCTTTAGATTATATATATATAAAAAACATTTAAGGTTCAAATATCCATTGCAAATGACCCTGCAGTATTTGATTAAAATTATATATATATAATTTTAATTTCTTTTGTTCACAAACTGCATTAGATCTAAAAAAAAAAATCATAGATTGTAAAATGTGGCTTAAGTGTTTAAATACTTTTTTCGGGCCACGATATATTGTTTCCATGGTGAAAGGTTCTATACATTGTAACTGTTTGCCTGGCCCATTTTATTCATCCGCCAATCCTTTAAGCTGTGGACCACCCTAATCAAACCAAACACAGTCAGTCTAGGCCTAATGTTCAGCTGCTGTTTACTGAACCCTGTGTGCTGGGTGACCCAGGGCAGGGAGGAACTATGGGCCGTAAGCTTGTTAGATATAGAAAGAGTTTGACTACAAGGCTTAAAGATCACTTTCTCTGGATGCTTCTGTGTAATTTGGGCTCTGTGTAAGCAGAGAAAAGACTCAGAGTTTCTGTTTCCACACTGCTCTGTTACTGGTGGTATTATCTAAACTTATCAGAGTCAATGTTGTATGTGGTCATGTTCAGATAAAATCCCCCCAGATGCACAAATTAAAATGTATTTTTTTTTTTCTGTGATGGGCAAGCACATTTTTTCAAGCCTCATTACTCCAGTCCTCAGTGTCACATGATCCTTTAGAAATACTTTTAATATGCTGATTTGGAGCTCAAGTAACATTTGTTATTATTATCAATGTTGAAAACAGTTGAACTTCTTAATATAGCCTATCTGCGTAATATTTTTGTGGAAACCGTGATACATGTTTTCCAGGATTATTTGATACAAATTCAACAGAACATAATTTATGAGTATATATATATATGTATATATATATATATGTGTGTGTGTGTGTGTGTGTGTGTGTGTAGGGTGTGTGCACGCATCAAATGGGGGCAGGGTTTAAGCTTAGCTGCTCATTTTATTTTCTCGCTCAGTGTGTGTAGGGATATATATATATATATATATATATATATATATATATATATATATATATATAAAAATATGTGTGTGTAATATACATATCTATATATATATATATATATATATATATATATATATATGAAGAGTTCAGATGCAAAAGCCTCTAAATGCCATTTGAAATTTTCTTCTTTAATGATGATTTTTATCAAACTTGTATATTTAAGTTCAGTAATTTCACTTAAATAACAATTAATAGGTAATTATCATTGCCATTTAAGTGAAATTACTGAACTTAAATATACACGTTTGGTAAAAATCATCATTAAAGAGGAAAATTTCAAATGGCATTTAGAGGCTTTTGCATCTGAACTCTTCATATATATATATACACACACTCACCTAACGGATTATTAGGAACACCTGTTCAATTTCTCATTAATGCAATTATCTAATCAACCAATCACATGGCAGTTGCTTCAATGCATTTAGGGGTGTGGTCATGGTCAAGACAATCTCCTGAACTCCAAACTGAATGTCAGAATGGGAAAGAAATGTGATTTAAGCAATTTTGAGTGCAGTATGGTTGTTGGTGCCAGACGTGCCAGTCTGAGTATTTCACAATCTGCTCAGTTATTGGCATTTTCATGCACAACCATTTCTAGGGTTTGCAAAGAATGGAGTGAAAAGGAAAAAAACATCCAGTATGCGGCAGTCCTGTGGGCGAAAATACCTTGTTGATGCTAGAGGTCAGAGAAGAATGGGCTGACTGATTCAAGATGATAGAAGATCAACTTTCACTGAAATAACCACTCGTTACAACCGAGGTATGCAGCAAAGCATTTGTGAAGCCACAACACGCACAGCCTTGAGGCGGATGGGCTACAATAGCAGAAGACCCAACAGGGTACCACTCATCTCCACTACAAATAGGAAAAAGAGGCTACAATTTGCAAGAGCTCACCAAAATTGGACAGTTGAAGACTGTAAAAATGTTGCCTGGTCTGATGAGTCTCGATTTCTGTTGAGACATTCAGATGGTAGAGTCAGAATTTGGCGTAAACAGAATTAGAACATGGATCCATCATGCCTTGTTACCACTGTGCAGGCAGCAGGTCACCTAACTGACGCCTTGGGAAGCATTTGACCATGCTTCAATATCTGACGCTTTAGGCGCCCTTTAGCGTCAGTTAGATGATGCCCTGGGATCGCGTGTACCCTACCCCCACCCCAGACCTAAACCTAACCGCGTCCTCTAACTGACGCTTTCCTTTAGCGTCAGTTAGATGACGCCTAAAACGTCAAATATTGAAGCATGGTCAAAGGTGACGCCTTGGGGTGAGAATGTGTTGGTGCAGGCTGGTGGTGGTGTAATGGTGTGGGGGATGTTTTCTTGGCATACTTTAGGCCCCTTAGTGCCAGCTGGGCATCGTTTAAATGCCACAGCTTTTCTGACCATGTCCATCCCTTTATAGCCACCATGTACCCATCCTCTGATGGCTACTTCCAGCAGGATAATGCACCATGTCACAAAGCTTGAATCATTTCAAATTGGTTTCTTGAACATAACAATGTGTTCACTGTACTAAAATGGCCCCCACAGTCACCAGATCTCAACCCAATAGAGCATCTTTGGGATGTGGTGGCATGGGAGCTTCGTGCCCTGGATGTGCATCCCACAAATCTCCATCAACTGCAAGATACTATCTTGTCAATATGGGCCAACATTTCTAAAGAATGTTTCTGAGTGATTCAGATGATTATGCATTCATTGACTCGTTTCTAGAAAGCATGAATATACTATATTTATCCCATACACTTTCGTCATTGGCGGAGCACTCGGTAATTCCAGTAAATACGACTTGTGATTGGACTGTGCATCAGCCAGCACAGTCTCATCCCAAGACGTCATATAACTGACGTCTTGGGACGTCTTTTGCCCATACGTCAACATCCGCCTTTTTAGGGTACCCTTAAACGTCGGTTAGATGACGTTATCGGATCCTAACCATACCCCAGAAACCTATCCCTAAACCTACCCCGTCACCTGACCGACGTTAAAGGTAAAGCGTCAGTTGTATGACGGCCCGGGATCGTCATGTAACCGACGTTTCTTCTTGGGATTAGACTGTGTTACGTCAGCAGACAGCAAAGCATTGACCAATAGCAGAAGGCCCTCCCGCCAGGCTTTTTTTTTTTTTTTTGCAAGGTTGCCAAGCTTAATTTTCGCTCAGTCTGAGTTTCAGAGCAGAGCTGCATGTATGCATAATGTATGAACAGATATTTTAATTTTTTTACATTTTTTTAATACATTTTTAAAGTTTGCAAATCTTATTTTTCGATCTTGCAAAACTTTTTTTTTGTAAGATTTAGAGTTTTTGAACACTTAGTTTTAACCTTTCAGAACTTTACTTTCAGTTTTGAATCATGGCAGGATATTAATCCCATAGCCTAGCAGAGTAAATAAAATCGCACTGCACAAAGGCAGTTTGGGGAAACCCAGGCTAAAACGGAACAGGCTTAAAAACTCTTTTTGTGCCAGCATCAATTAGACTGTTGAACATGGTCATGGATTAGCAATGTCGGTCCGACATTATTTCGATAGTCCACTTTAGACATTCTACTGACAATAAGTAACTTTGCAACTATATGTCAACTAGTAGTAGACTGCAGTAGGCTTAGGTTATGGTTAGGTGTTAGGGTTCGGGTTAGTAGAATAAGTTGACCTGCAGTTACCAAGTTACTTATAGTCTCTTGGGGGACCATCAAAATAAAGTTTTAGCAGACATTAAGCATACAGTCTACAAATACTCTAATGAGAGTTAGTTCACATGTAGCTGCAAAGTTACTTATAGTTAGTAGAATGTCTAAAGTGGACTCGAAATAAGTGTCACTGGGACGTCTACATATTCTTATGTATACATGTATGGTGTGTCTGAATATTTTGTGTATTACAAATTTCCCTATAAGGGAAATAAAGTATATTTTATTTCATTTCATTGCATCTATGCAATTTGATCACTGTCAGTGTGAATGCAGCTTCAGACATGCACATCATCTTTTGGAAATATTGGAGTTGTCCTCTTATTTCTATTATGCACTTTTTACAGTAAAGGGTAACAGAATATACTCTAAAAAAAAATCAATTCTCATTCATATTCTTAAGAATAAAACACAAGGGTGTCAATATTTATGAAAATATAGGTCATGAGACTCCTATAAATGTTGGCCAGGATGTTTGTTTTTATGCTTTTAAAATTTTAGTATGCAAAAACGTGTGGCTCTTCGCCACAAATAATAAAAAAAGAGCAGAATTGCAGATGTTTTAAGTGAAATCAAAGCTCCATATGAATGAATACTATTAGGATATTGCTATGTTGTAAATCTGACCGGTGTTTTGGGTTGGAGATGATCTTGTGAGTGATGCCATCTGAACTTCTGTCCTGGAAGGAGCGCAGGAAGTTCAAGTACTGCACGCAGCCCTTTTTAAGCTTCAGACCACACCGAGACAGAAACAGGCCCAGGTGCTTCATCTTCAGATGCAGGCCAAACTTCCCCAACACCTGCAGAAAGTCTGCACCCCTCACCTGCAAACAGAACACAGACAAGATTGACGTTAATCAATATGATAACCCAGCCTGTTTATGAAGCTCGATGCTGTTTACTACCTTCCCGCTGTTCTCAGGATCCAGTTGATCAAACTCTGTTTTCATCTTCTGAGCTCCTTCTCTGAATCTGTCCTTTAGCCACGTCTCAATAGCGATAGATGTGTGACGCTCCTCTTCTGCCTTGGAGAGTGCCCTAGCAGGAGCTGCAGTGAAGAGACAGGCATTACAGGAAAATGACAGGTCAGGATTAATTTAATATTCTGATTATTTCAAATTAAAAGTAAAAACTAAACATTAGTACTAATGAAACAGGACCACAGCACCCTCTATAGGTCGACTGTTGCTCAAGTACACAACTAAAGCGAACTGAAACGGCTAGTTTGTCCGAAGTCTGTCCCTCTGCTTCTGGGAAAATATATACTATTGATCTATAATCATTTCAATGAATCATTTTAGTACAATAATAAATTTAACTTCGGTTTACTTTCACTTATGACTGTGATTGGCCTACTTTTTCGGTACATTTGTTTACTGACAATTTTGTAAATTAACAGATAAAGATACTTTATAAATCAGAAAGCTCGTGAAACATTAGGCTACTTGAAACTGTACAAATTCCATATTTTTAGCTAACAGGCAAACCTTTTGTGTCCTCAGCTTTAGCGTTAATGGAAGTGTGGTAGTTTTTCTCATTGTTTTGTTCAATCCTTCTGCTTAATCCCAATCTCTGCAGAAAAATAGTCTGTTTGGCTGCTCCAAGTCCATCCACATCTAGCCTGTTAAAAAAAGTATTTTATTTATTTATTTATTTTTTATAAAAACAAAATTCTAATAAAACATCTAGTTATTTAAATAAATAAATAAATGCACAAATTAATAAATTCAAACCTTTTCCATAATTTTTCAAAATCTGGATCTTTCAGGGGAAGTTTGAGCTTGTTGAGAATATTTCTGAACTCTGGGGCAGAAATCCAGTTTTCAGTAAGACTGTCTGACTTGCACAACACCTCTACACACTCCAGAAACCTACAGTGGGAGAAATGGGGTCACAATCAGGGAAAATAGCAACTGAAAAGCTAATTTTTCATGTTTATGCACTATTGTTTGACAGTCTATTAAGTCTAGTAATTAGGAATTTTTTTAAATCTTATGTTTTTGAAAGAAGTCTTTTATGCTCACCATCTGCATTTATTTGTCCAAAAATAAAATAAAATCACTACTATATTGAAAAATATTTATTGTAAAGCAAAGCTGTGATAGCAAAGCTTAATTTTCAGAAATCATGCTTATTTTGTGCTCAGGAAACAATGATCCATTTTTTTGCAGGATTCTTTGTTGAATAGAAAGTTCAAATAACTGGATTTTTTATCTGAAATATAAATCTTTTGTAAATACATATAAATGTCACTGATCAATTGAATGCATCCTTGCTTACGAGTATTATTTTATAAAAAAAAATAAATAAATAAATAAAACAAAAACACCTAAAATGATAGACCTAAAAAAAAAATGTAATGATGTATGCTGACAGTGCTATCAGATGATTAACATTTTGAAAATCTCTTATTTACTTTTTTTTTACAGAGATTGTTTAAAAATTCAGTTTTTTTTCGCCTCTTTGTCCCTCTCACACTCTCTCATGCACACACACGCTGTCAATCATACATTTGAGGAGGAAGAGAGCAAGAGATTAAACACTTCTCTTTATTATGTCCCTTCATCTCTTCCACTTATCCTTTCTTTCTATTTTCAACCTTTTTTGACCCATAAATCTGCCTTTTGGGCACTTTTTATGAGTGCCACATTTTTCTTCTTTCCCTGTTGCTCTTTCATCTTTATCCCTCTCTTGTCTTTTTATTCAGTCTTTTTTTCTCTCCCTCATCCTATCTTTACCATCTTTCACTTGTAGTCTCATAATCAATGTGTCTGTAAGAAAGAGAGGGAAAATGTGTGAGATTAGTCACAGAGATTTCTTTTTTTTTGCTCACGGCTGGAGTGTGTCTTGGTCTGACCAGGTCTTACGCAATCAGCACAACACACACACACACACACACACACCAACCTTTGCACTCTTGCACACTCCCTCTACAACATTGTATTGCATTGGTTAGACAGTTAGATACAATAGTAGCAGTAATACAGGGAGGGAGAAATCATCCTCTTGCCTTCTCTGAGCTGCGTTCTCACTCCCCGCTGGTGAACTTTGAACTTGAGCAGTTCACATTCTTTCTGAATTGTCATGTCTTTCTAGAGTATTGTTTGAGTGATTACTTCTGTTTTTTTGTTATTGTTTTTGTTTTTTACAGTTTAGATTCAATAATCATTTTAGTGACCCCAAAATGTATTTGACGAGTTCAGATGCAAAAGCCTCTAAATGCCATTTGAAATTTTCTTCTTTAATGATGATTTTTATCAAACTTGTATATTTAAGTTCAGTAATTTCACTTAAATGGCAATGATAATTACCTATTAATTGTTATTTAAGTGAAATTACTGAACTTAAATATACAATTTTGATAAAAATCATCATTAAAGAAGAAAATTTCAAATGGCATTTAGAGGCTTTTGCATCTGAATTCTTCATTTGTAGACTTAAGCTATGTCTGAAACTAACATTAGATACAAAATATTAAACCAAATGGAATTTATTAATGATGTTTCTCAACCAGGGGGGCCGGGACTGACTGCCCATCTAACAGGGAACATTCTCAAAATGTTCTTCATAAAACACATTATTTATACATCGTTTTTATTGAAGAGTTTTTTTTATTCTGTCCTCAGTGCGGCCATAGCACGATGACGTACTGCATTAAATCAAATATGTATTGTTGACTCATGATTTTTATTTCTCAAACCTGTTTGGTGCAAACTCCGCCCATTATTCGATTCTAAAGATTTCATTACTCATGTCAATCAAAGTGCTTATCGCCTACATAACGCTGCAACAGATACTAACCCCTAAACCTACAACATTAAACCTTAAAAAAAAAACATTGTTGTATTTTTAACGCAGTGTGTCATTGCACTACATTGCACTGCACTCCTGAAACGTTTCCTTGTTTCCAGCCAGCCCATTCTCATCCCAAAGCGTCATCTAACTGAAGCTTTTGACCATGGGTCAACATCCGCACATGGCACCCTTCAGCGTCAATATGAGACGAGCCTCCTAGTGGTCTAATCCTACAGCCCGTTCTCATCCCAAGGCGCCATCTAACTGACACTTTTGACCATGCGTCACATGGCAACCATTAGCGTCAGTTAGATGATGCTCATGCTAGGGCATCATCTAACTGACACCATGCGTCTAAATCCGACGGACATGGCAACCTTTAGCGTCAGTTAGATGACGCTCATCCTAGGGCGTCATCTAACTGGCGCTTTTGACCATGCGTCTAAATCCGACGCACATGGCAACCTTTAGCGTCAGCTAGATGACACAGGTAGATTTAGGTCTAGGGTTAGGGTTAGAGCACTAGGAGGCGCGTCTCATATTGAAGCTGAAGGGTGCCATGAGCGTCGGATGTTGCTTATCACAAGGCCTCACCTAACTGACTCTTTTGACCATGCGTCAACATCCGACGCACATGGAACCCTTTCGGGTGCCATGTGCGCTAGGATGAGCGTCAACTGACGCTAAAGGTTGCCATGTGCGTCGGATTTAGACGCATGGTCAAAAGAGTCAGTTAGATGACGCCCTAGGATGAGAATGTGTTGCAGCTTCAGAAATTTCAAAGAACATTACAAAACTCCCCTTAACGTTTACGAAACGATCAAATGTAAAAAAAAAAAAAAAAAGTACATATCAAAGAATAACAACTTTTTTAAGCCACAGTTAGCCAAGCAGAGTAACCACAGATGTAGTTCATAACTGGACGTGTTTGACAACAATAAAGTAGCCTAATATAGATATAAAAGCAACATCGCATTCTTGCTGTTGTTCTGAATACCAGCAGAAGTAAACACAACACAAAGCATTCAGACTAACATCACAAATCAAACGAGAAACCGTATGACCATGTTTCTATACAACCGTTCAATAAACAAGAAGTTAACTTAAGACACACAATTTTAGATGTGTTCTTTCCTATTTTACCATATTTTTTGCACCATGCACTACTATATATTAAAAAACATGTTTGTGAAATGTTTAGCACGAAAAGTATGCTTATAGCCTACTACTTTGCTTTAATATTAATGCTACTTTTGTTGATTACATTATCTGAAGTGTTCATTGATATTGCTTTTTAATTTATGACAACATAATGACAACAAAGAAAATATTTAATATGACAGTTAACTGGACCGTTAAAATACTCAGAGATCTCACCTGCTGCGGGCAGGTCCTCTCAAGAGGGCCAGTGTCTGGGGAATTGTAAGAGGACCTGCAGCGTTACTTTTACTGAAGTCTGGGTCTTTTAAGGCACCATAAAACTCCTCAAAACTGATAAGCACTCGGTCAGAGAGGTGCAGACTAAACAGAAAGAGCAAGACAGGGTATTTTTGTAGATGGTCAATGATGTTGGACAATGTTTTATAGCATTACAAAAACATAATGTTTGCTTTGAGAGTTGTAAGAGAGTCATTACCAGAATAGAAGGCCTTTCAACTGTTTAGCTGTGACAGGCCGTCTCAGGAACTTTGTAAGGATTTCAAGTAAAACAGGTCTAGAAAAGAACAAATCATTAGAAAATGGAAACATTTTCTAATGATTTTTTTTTGTTTAACATGTGTGTGCCTGTGTTTTTACCTGTTGACCAGAGGTTTGCCATCAGGGTGGTTGTTCTTGAACAGGATTTTGAGTGTCAGAGCTCCAGTAGTTTGAATGCGCTCTTTTAGCTCATCTTTCAGCTGTAAATGAAAGGATGAAATCAGTTTATTAGTTAAGTGTAATTTATATATATATATATATATATATATATATATATATATATATTGTATTTATAAAAACTTTGACGCAAGACAAAGAACAAAGTACACAGAGACACTAATCAGGGACTATATGACAACTAATGAATGACTAATTATGGCAAAACAGTAACAATTATACTAAGGGTGTGTGTCTACATGACAAAAATGTACTAAAAACAGAAAAGTGTATCCTTGAGTTTTTCACACACAGATGACAATGTTATCAAAACTATCTCAGTTCACATGGATCCATGAACATGATTAAAAACACTGTATTATGCACGCCAGGCCAGTAGTTGGCAATGCCACTTTGTAAAGAAAAACTATGTACCTAGTGAACACAAGCAGGACGTTTTCACAAATTCACGTTTTGGTTGTTTACACAGGGATAATAACTGTAAAATTTTCAAAACTTGCACCCATTTTCAAAAGTTTTCAAGTTTCAGGCCCCCAAAAATCCATTGTCGTGTAAATTAATGGCCAAAACGCATAAAAGGTATCCATTTTGTGTTGTGTATACAGCATCTAAGACAGACTAAACAGAACATGATCATGACAGAATGATTCTAACTATTCTAACTCTTTTAGAGAATAAAAGACAAACAGACCAGCGTTTTTTAAATGTTTTGTCAAAACTTTTATACAAATTTTAATATAGACCTACAACACTTTAGTACTCTCTTTTTTCCTCTCTTTTGGAGATCATTAATATTTCTGCAAAAAACAGATCACAGACACTCTTCTAATCTCTGTGAAATATCTCAGAGATATTATACGTAACATTAATGTAAGCCTATACGGATAGCATGCAGATTCATTTGAAACCTGAACTAACTGAAAGACTTTTATAAGTAGGCCTACTGATTGTATTAAATATAATGAGTGACAGCATTTCAAGATTCTTTTGTGACAAGATGGGATAGAGGGGTTGAGTGTTCATCCACACACCCACTCTGACTCTTGTGACGGGTGTGTGTGCGTGTGTACCCCCACTGTGTGACTAAGGCAGCTCTCGTGACCAGGCGGAGTCGAGGGGGCCTGTGTGCTGGGTTCAGTCGGTCAGACAGACAGGACCCCAGGGATAAGACTGGCAGGGTTAATCACACACAACACCCCCTCCAGAAGACAGACACCTGCAGATTTGCAGGACTTTCTCTCTCTCACACGCCCATTTGCACATATCTCCCCCCCTTCTCCTTCTCTTTATCGCTCTTTGCTAATATCTCTCCTGAGTAAACTCGGATACACATTGGTGTTAACCACTGAGCTGCTGCAGCTGAGATTTTATCAGTTCTTGTGTTTTATTCGAGCAGTAGCTTTCTTTCTCAATGGGATAATGCCAGGCTTTGATGTCAGGAGTAACACAGGCCAGCAACACTGTCATTGAGAGGAAAGCACATGAGGATACTTGAGAATATGCCTATATTAATCTCTGTAGAATCACATTGTGCATGAGACCAGCACAGTGGCTCCAAAAAATGTAAATTAATAATAATAATTATTATTATTATTATTATTATTGCATTAAATAAAATATAATCAAGTTGCAGGTTTCTCAGCTCTAATTTTAAAAATTCAAAATAAGCTATTTTATTTTATTTTATTTATTTATTTATTTATTTTTTTTGCCATAATTTTGAACTGTCCACAGATGAAGTGGATGTAAGTCAGATAGCCCAACCCGATCTCACGACCAAGTCGTACGAATTCGACGAATGATTAAAAAGTGGCTAATTCGTAACAATTCATACGACCTCTTTTACGAATTGGCCAATTCGTATGAATTCGTACGAATGACCTACCCCTTACCCCTTACCCCGCCCCTAAACCTAACCATCACGTGGGTTTAGACAAATCGTACGAATTAGTACGAATTAGCCACTTTTTAATCATGCGTCGAATTCGTACGAATTGGTCGTGAGATAGTGTTGCATAGCCCTATAACATCACACATGTTTCCTAATATAGTCAGCAAAGGTGGGGTTCATCACATTAATAACAGACATTTTCAAATGTTTAGAATAATGAATTATTTACATTATTAGATGAATATTTAATGCTTTTGAAAGAAGTCATTATGCTCACCAATACTGCATTTATTTGATCAAACATACAGTAAAACATTAATATTGTTGAATATACAATTTAAAATAACTGTTTTCTATTTGAATATATTTTAATTTATTCCTGTGATGGCAAAGCTGGATTTTCAGCAGCCATTACTTTAGTCTTCAGTGTCACATGATCCTTCAGAATTCATTCTAATAAGCTGAATTGGTGTTCAATTATTATCAATGCTAAAAATATCAATAATGATCCTTATTATTATCATCATCATCATTGTTATCATCATTAATTATTTTCATGGAAACAGTGATGTGTTTTGGTAACATTTTGTGACATTCTTTGATGAGCAGACATTTCAAATTATTTCAAATTATTAATATTTCACAATATTAAATATTTAACTGCATTTTTTAACAAATGAATGCAGCCTTGGTAAGCATAAGATACTTTTTTTTTTTTTTTAATAAAAAATAAAAATATTTTGACCGGTAGTGTATTTGTCTTTATTGACAGTATTAATAAACAGTACATTTGTTTTAAACTGTATCATGTAAAAGCTAACCAAATGAAGAGTTCAGATGCAAAAGCCTCTAAATGCCATTTGAAATTTTCTTCTTTAATGATGATTTTTATCAAAATTGTATATTTAAGTTCAGTAATTTCACTTAAATAACAATTAATAGGTAATTATCATTGCCATTTAAGTGAAATTACTGAACTTAAATATACAAGTTTGATAAAAATCATCATTAAAGAAGAAAATTTCAAATGGCATTTAGAGGCTTTTGCATCTGAACTCTTCATTTGTAGACTTAAGCTATGTCTGAAACTAACATTAGATACAAAATATTAAACCAAATGGAATTTATTAATGATGTTTCTCAACCAGGGGGGCCGGGACTGACTGCCCACCTAACAGGGAACATTCTCAAAATGTTCTTCATAAAACACATTATTTATACATCGTTTTTATTGAAGAGTTTTTTTTATTCTGTCCTCAGTGCGGCCATAGCACGATGACGTACTGCATTAAATCAAATATGTATTGTTGACTCATGATTTTTATTTCTCAAACCTGTTTGGTGCAAACTCCGCCCATTATTCGATTCTAAAGATTTCATTACTCATGTCAATCAAAGTGCTTATCGCCTACATAACGCTGCAACAGATACTAACCCCTAAACCTGTACAACATTAAACCTTAAAAAAAAAACATTGTTGTATTTTTAACGCAGTGTGTCATTGCACTACATTGCACTGCACTCCTGAAACGTTTCCTTGTTTCCAGCCAGCCCATTCTCATCCCAAAGCGTCATCTAACTGAAGCTTTTGACCATGGGTCAACATCCGCACATGGCACCCTTCAGCGTCAATATGAGACGAGCCTCCTAGTGGTCTAATCCTACAGCCCGTTCTCATCCCAAGGCGCCATCTAACTGACACTTTTGACCATGCGTCACATGGCAACCATTAGCGTCAGTTAGATGATGCTCATGCTAGGGCATCATCTAACTGACACCATGCGTCTAAATCCGACGGACATGGCAACCTTTAGCGTCAGTTAGATGACGCTCATCCTAGGGCGTCATCTAACTGGCGCTTTTGACCATGCGTCTAAATCCGACGCACATGGCAACCTTTAGCGTCAGTTGACGCTCATCCTAGCGCACATGGCACCCGAAAGGGTTCCATGTGCGTCGGATGTTGACGCATGGTCAAAAGAGTCAGTTAGGTGAGGCCTTGTGATAAGCAACATCCGACGCTCATGGCACCCTTCAGCTTCAATATGAGACGCGCCTCCTAGTGCTCTAACCCTAACCCTAGACCTAAATCTACCTGTGTCATCTAGCTGACGCTAAAGGTTGCCATGTGCGTCGGATTTAGACGCATGGTCAAAAGCGCCAGTTAGATGACGCCCTAGGATGAGCGTCATCTAACTGACGCTAAAGGTTGCCATGTCCGTCGGATTTAGACGCATGGTGTCAGTTAGATGATGCCCTAGCATGAGCATCATCTAACTGACGCTAATGGTTGCCATGTGACGCATGGTCAAAAGTGTCAGTTAGATGGCGCCTTGGGATGAGAACGGGCTGTAGGATTAGACCACTAGGAGGCTCGTCTCATATTGACGCTGAAGGGTGCCATGTGCGGATGTTGACCCATGGTCAAAAGCTTCAGTTAGATGACGCTTTGGGATGAGAATGGGCTGGCTGGAAACAAGGAAACGTTTCAGGAGTGCAGTGCAATGTAGTGCAATGACACACTGCGTTAAAAATACAACAATGTTTTTTTTTTAAGGTTTAATGTTGTACAGGTTTAGGGGTTAGTATCTGTTGCAGCGTTATGTAGGCGATAAGCACTTTGATTGACATGAGTAATGAAATCTTTAGAATCGAATAATGGGCGGAGTTTGCACCAAACAGGTTTGAGAAATAAAAATCATGAGTCAACAATACATATTTGATTTAATGCAGTACGTCATCGTGCTATGGCCGCACTGAGGACAGAATAAAAAAAACTCTTCAATAAAAACGATGTATAAATAATGTGTTTTATGAAGAACATTTTGAGAATGTTCCCTGTTAGATGGGCAGTCAGTCCCGGCCCCCCTGGTTGAGAAACATCATTAATAAATTCCATTTGGTTTAATATTTTGTATCTAATGTTAGTTTCAGACATAGCTTAAGTCTACAAATGAAGAATTCAGATGCAAAAGCCTCTAAATGCCATTTGAAATTTTCTTCTTTAATGATGATTTTTATCAAACTTGTATATTTAAGTTCAGTGATTTCACTTAAATGGCAATGAAGATTACCTATTAATTGTTATTTAAGTGAAATTACTGAACTTAAAAATACAAGTTTGATAAAAATCATCATTAAAGAAGAAAATTTCAAATGGCATTTAGAGGCTTTTGCATCTGAACTCTTCAAATATTTAAATTAAATTATATATTTTTTTTCTGATATTTTATTATCAAATTTAATAATATTCATGTATTAAGTGTTTAAATAAGCTACTTCATATACTGTGCTACTGTATGAAATAGAAAGCCGCTGTGTCTTTTAAACCAATAATCATAAACATATCATTACATAGTATGTCCCACTTTATATTAGGTGTCTTTTAGCTACTATGTACTTACATTTAAATGTGTGTAATACCTGATCAATTTGATCTGTCATCCATGGACCAGTGCTGGAGTTTGTTATATGAGAAAGCATACTAATGGATCGGGTCTCTGATGCCGCCATGTGACCTATACCAAACACACAAACCAGACAAACATGCAAAAATGCACACAAATGATAATACACGTTACTTGAATGGAGGACCAAGGCAAATAGCAAAAAGATTCCAAACTTGGTTTTCATGAAGATGAACATAAATGAATTATATAAAGTAAAAAATATTTTAATATAAAATACTCTTGACCCAAACATGTTCCAGCAGGATAAGTTGCTCTAAATGCACAACAAGTCTCTGGAACTAAGAAGAGAGACTCAAGTTTCACTGACCACTAGTCATTACTCTGATGAGACAGCGCCCTCGTGTGGTCGACTACGTGACAGCCTGAATAATTATGCAATGTGCTAATTATGGCTCTTAAGAAGCAAGAACGGGCAAACCTTTTTTTTAAGTCAGATTTTCATGGATAAAAGTTCCGTTAAAGGTTCTCGAACGGGAATTCTTTTACAACATAAAGCCAGCAGTGTTTCATTTACATTTCTAAATGCATTTTGATCAAAAACACTCTTAACTGTGGGCTAGCTGATTAACTTCATCTCTGACTGAAAATATTATTTATTTATTTATTTATTTATTTTCATAAATGGAAAGATCAGTGTAGCCTACTGCGTAAAAATTAATTTGCTATGGATTAAAAGTATTTTTGTTAGGCTATTTGTTGTGTTGAAATCTCCCCCCTCAAAAATAAATACAGCTAATTAGGCTATGCAAACTGTCTCGTGTGCTTTATGTGTTAGGCGGCTCACTGTTTTTTTTTTTTTTTTTTAACAAACATTTGATGTTTCAGTCAGCAATGCATTTGTCTTATAGCGCTGTTTCAGATGCTGAAATGCTAATTACAGTCTAAATACAGTCTCAATCCTGCCAAATACAGTCGGACCTCCATAAATTCACAAAGCATTGGCCTACCATTAGGTCTACATTATCACCAGTTGTAGGCATTGTGCAGCCCCTTCATATCAAACTTCATAAATGTCAGGGTAGGCTAGTGTAGTGACTCACGGAAGGCAGGTAATCTGGCTTTATCCTGGTCATGGATGACCTCGTCTCCTTCGGGTATTTGCTCTGGAATATCTAATCCTCTTCTTTTTCCTTTCTCCATCAGAGAACTTCTATCACTTCTGCTGCTCTCACTGCGAAAAGCGGAATCCATGCTCTCCGCGCCCGGAGACTGAGGTCTGGTTCCTCTTTGAGGCATCCAGTGTCTCTGTTCTCTGCCGCAGTCTGTGGAAAAACCCCGGAGTGAGATGAGATCTGGATCTCCTAGTCTTGATGAAGGGTGTTGAATGGCCGGGAGCCGCACAGAAGCCACCGTGGACATCCTGACTGCAAAGTTTACTTTTTAATACAACTGTGCGGGAAGCCCTTTTCCAAAGTGCGTTACGCACTAAGAATAAAATGGATTCAATTAGATAAATTACGCATCGAACTCAGTCGCTTTATAATGGCTTAAATGTCAAAAGTTCCGTGTAGTACACTGTTGAAGAACTTTTATGAGAGGAGATACTGTCTGCCTACTGTTTTATTACAAAAGAAAAGCCAAGTTGTCCTTAGCAACAGCAAGCACTCGCGCGTTAGGGTTGCTGGTTACGCGAGCAAATTTTAAAAGCGCGAGATGTTCATACAGGAAATCAATCGAGAATACAATGCCAACCCCTACACAGGCCTACTTATAGTCAGTTTGCAAACATCTTCAGTAACATGAATAAACACTTGGCAATCTCTGTTTGGCATGTTTATTAATTTCTAAGCAATATTGCAGCTTCCAGGGAGAGTGAATCAAATAATTGTGTTCCTGTGACTGAGGAAATTTGAGCTGATGTGCCATCACAGTCCTGGCACCCAGTCAAACTCTCATTGTGTTGTAAAGAGGAGTCTCCCACATTGTTTTTAGTAACATTCAAATCCCACTCAAGAAGAATACGGCTGTATTGTAGCCCAGCAACAGCCCTAACTAACAGACTGAGAGGTGAACAAATGGGGTAGTGGTTTCCAATATAAAACTGAAAATATAAAAATAAATAATAAAATAAGCTTATTTGTCATTATACAATAAATCAGAGTAGCATTATAAATAGGTGCAGCAGAAAACATCATACGAGTGCAGAATGAGCAAAGGTCGTCTAGTTCTTCAAATAGTTTCTTGACAAATTTAAAATTTTGGAGGCAATAAAATGCAAAACTCGATCATTGTTGCAAATAAGTTTGCGTGAAATGCAATTACTAACGTTCAGCTAACATTATGGCATTGACGTGGAGATAGGCTAGGCCTATAGCTTTTATGTGTTCCATTGCGAACCAAAAACTTTACTCTTTCATTTTTTGCCTTAATGTAATAGTGCATTTTAGGACTACTTACCTTAGAATCCTAACCGAAATCAAACTATACAGGTACTTTAAGGTACAATCAAAATAATAAAAAAAACATTCAAAGGAGCCTATGCCATAGAACTAAACCTTTACGAATATCAGTTTAATGGAAGTATAAATTTAGATTACATAATTTAGAAAGCCAAATTGTATTATTATTATTTTTATTATTATTATTATATAGGCATACTTTATTGCATATGCCAAATATCCATGTAATACTTTTGGTGCAAGTTTGAAAAGCTTCTGTTAATAATGTGAGAGAAAAAATAGTGTCCTTTAAACGTCCCCAATTTCGTGACACAGGACATTATAAACCTGCGCAAGACTCATGACCTGTGACCCGGGATATTTATTCAGCTTTGAGATTCTGTTCGGTCCCTCATGGATCCATCATCTGCTCCTCTCGCGATAATGAGTCTGGATATATTGAGAGCAAACACGAGCACTCGTCCATTTGAAGGGGCGTCGCTGGGCTTCTTATATAGGGTCCTTAAGTTAGTGGTGAGATTGTCTTCCAGGAGATAGGACATCATGTCTGACGCAGTGACCAGCTTCTTGAAGGATTTCTTGGCCGGTGGTGTGGCCGCTGCCATCTCCAAGACAGCCGTGGCCCCCATTGAAAGAGTCAAACTGTTACTGCAGGTACGTTTTGAAGTCAGAATCAATCATTTTAGAATTATATATAAAAATGCTGGGCCATTTCAACGTTTGGGTCAAATATGTTGGGTTTACAATTCAATTAAAACATTTAAACCAACTGTTGGGTTTGTCCATTTTTGACCCAAACATGGGTTGAAACAACCCACGAGTGCGGGCTATTGAATATCCCCGTAAATAGCTTGAGAAAAAAGTTCCAAGTAAGTCACAACTGCCTACATTAGAAAGAGGGTGCAGTGAACTTGTATGGCAAGTTTGTTTGGTTTAAAAAGGTTTCGGTACAATTCAAATAATTTAATAAAACCATTCAATTATTTGAATAGACTAAATGGGAAAGTTTTACCGACAATTAATTATGGCGCTGTCCATGGTGCTACTTTATAAAGCGTTGCCAAGACAAGCCTCGCTGACAAAGTGCAATTTCACCATAGAGTAAGTTTAATTAATGTTTGATTGATTTTATTCGGTAATTTAAGTAGTGCTTTACTAATTAATTAAAAAAAATAAATAAATAAAGTTTAAACATTTGACCTTGACGACTTCCATCAACAGAGTTTATAAAGGTCAATCATGTGGGTTAAGATTGTGACTCTGAAGAGCAGCAATATTTGGTGTAAGTTTAAAGTTAAAAATAGTCTGGAGGCTGCAACCCAATACTTAAACCCCGCGCGCAAGCGGGGTGTGACGCCAAGTGCAGCTCACGCACGTGGACAGACTGATCCCTAAGTGTAATTACACTTTTTTTGTGGCTCCCTTATACAGGATAGTCAACACTGATACATGAAAATAATTGAAATTACATCTCAAAAATCCATATCCCACAATTCACATCCGACGTGTGACCACAATGATATCAAGGGTGCATTCTTCCACTTACCAATTCAAACTGTGCTGCTTCACAGGTCCAGCATGCCAGCAAACAGATCACAGCTGAGATGCAATACAAAGGCATCGTCGACTGCGTAGTAAGAATTCCCAAAGAGCAGGGATTCTTGTCCTTCTGGAGAGGCAATCTCGCCAACGTCATCAGATACTTCCCCACACAAGCCCTCAACTTTGCCTTCAAAGACAAGTACAAGAAGATCTTCCTTGGAGGAGTGGACCAGAAGACCCAGTTCTGGCGTTACTTTGCTGGTAATCTGGCCTCTGGCGGTGCCGCCGGTGCAACCTCTTTGTGCTTTGTCTACCCTCTTGACTTCGCCAGAACAAGACTTGCTGCTGATATCGGTAAAGGCGCAGCGGAGAGAGAGTTCAGTGGTCTTGGGAACTGCCTGACCAAGATCTTCAAGTCTGATGGTATTAAGGGTCTCTACCTTGGCTTCAATGTGTCTGTCCAGGGCATTATTATCTACAGAGCTGCTTACTTCGGTGTCTACGATACAGCAAAAGGTAAGCAGCTGTTGGGGAACATCTGACATGGATCAAATAAACTGCTCGTTAAATACAACTCAGTGACACTGTCGAACTCTATCACTCAGGTATGCTGCCAGACCCCAAGAACACGCACATTGTCATTAGCTGGATGATTGCCCAGACTGTCACAGCTGCAGCCGGCATCATTTCATATCCTTTCGACACCGTCAGACGTCGTATGATGATGCAGTCAGGACGCAAAGGAGGTAAGCCAAAGTTTGGCACAAACTATTGTTCCATGAATTTTGTGAATGATTAGTCGATTAACGGATCATTTTCTTTCCAAAAGCTGACATTATGTACTCGGGCACAATCGACTGTTGGAAAAAGATCACTAAGGATGAGGGGGCTAAAGCTTTCTTCAAGGGTGCCTGGTCCAATGTGCTCAGAGGCATGGGCGGCGCCTTCGTGCTGGTTCTGTATGACGAGATCAAGAAGTACACATAAACATTCTCCATCCATCATGTCAATCCCATCAAAGGAACCCCTGAGCACTGTGTATGTCTTAATTGTGTAGAACGTTAACAAACAGGGTGAAGTAGGAGAAGTGTACTTAGCCATGCTGTCCCAGGGGTGGATTTTAATCATGTGATCTTAGGTGGTCACATCACCCTCCACCTCTACACTTGTAAATATATTTAACTCTACCTACTGGCCCCTAGTTTTAGATGACTTTCAGTCTGGTCAGATTGAAAGTTATCTTTTTTTCTCATTTATTTATTTGAATCAACCCCCCATAACTCTGAGAGTCTACATGTTCTACGGTGGCTCTTCTCTTCTGTAGCTAGCTGAACACTCTCAGACTGAAGCAAGTGGCTGTACACTGGAAGGCTGACTGTTCTTGTGGTTTAGTCCACCTTATGTGTTCTTTTAATAAGAATAAAGCTGATAATACAACACCTGATCAATGCTTGTGGTTTCTTTTTTTATAATTACATTATTTCTTAAAAAAGTCAAAAGTTTTGTTACAGCTGAGTAATGGAAGTAGAGTCATACTGGCTTTCAAAGTTCACACTGTTTCACAAATATTTTAAATTAACAGAATTAATGAAGAAAAACGGTTCAAATCGTATAATTCCTATTTTAAACTAAATACAGAATATACAGAGTTTGGGGGTCAGTTAAATGTTTTTAAGACATTTTGTAAAGGAATCAGTACTTTAATTCAGCAAGAACGCATTAAAGTCAATAGGCATTTATAATGTCACAACAAGATTTCAATTTAAAATAAATGGTGTTCTTTTGAACTTTCTATTTATATTGTTGTTTTTTACAGTTTCCACAAGCAGTACAACTCTTTTCAACATTAATAAGAAATGTTTCTTGAGAACCAAAAACAGCATATTATCATATGACACTGAAGACTGCTAAAAATTCAGCTTTGCCAAACATATGTAATCATAAAAATGCGACTAATGAAGCCTTGGTGAGCATAGAATACTTCTTTCATAAATAATAAAAAACGATATATAATATATTTTACGGAAATATTTAAAAATGTAAATTTCAGAATATAATATTAGAATACAAGCGATTATAAATATTTTATGGCTAATATATTATAAATCACCTCAAAGGCGTTATAATGGTACATGCACTTTTTCAAGTTGATTGTACTGAAATGTGTGTTGGCAGTGCCTGTACACAACCATCATATAAAGATAAAAGTCTGTCCAGTGTTTTTTTTTTCTTGTATGTTTTCCCCTGCATAAAATCGATCCATTCGACCGTGTGACGTCACGCGGTTGGATGGCCTTCCAATAATTGTTAATTGACAGCAGAGTTTTAACACAGACCCACCCTGAGCGAACTGTCATCATAGTTTATCATTGTTGATACACTGGAGCAGAATGGCATCTAAGCGATTGTGGTGTTCTGTTCTTCAGTGTAATAACAAACACAGTCATTTTGATGTTCCAGATTCTGAACCGCTGAAGACACACCGTACCTATTCGAACCAGAACATACAGACACTGAACCAGCTCTCCAATGCTCTCTGTCTTGCAAGAGTTTGGGACTGCGGTTGTGTTGCAGCATCTTCCATTTCTTTCAGTTCAGTGTCTGTATATTCTGGTTCCAATAGGTACGGTTGGTAAAAAAAATGTAAGTCTTCATCTATGTCGAAATCAGCAGACATATTCACGAATTGAAAAGTGTATGTACAGTGCGCGTCTTCCTCTGCTTGTAAACAGAAAGTTTTGCGTTTCCAGCTATATCAGCACGTCATCTTATACAGAAGGTGACGGTAATACTCCTAAGCAGTGAGCAGCCGGAAACAAGAAGTAGTCGAAGAAGAACGTCCTCATCTCAGTTCCCGCGCATGCATTCTGGAAATCTCTTGAACTCTCGTCTCAGGCCCACAAGGAAGTAATGGAATAGTCGAATAAAGTCGTTATTTATGGGTTTTTTTCGCACGAAAAGTAGTCTCGTCGCTTGATAAACTTATAGTTGAGACACTGTAGGCACATGGAATATTTAAACATTTTCTTTAATGACTTTCTGGGCCATTAAGTTGCATTCCCTTAGGCAGCCTATGTAGCAGTGATCCACCTCTCAGATTTAATCAAAAATGTCTTCATTTGTGTTCCGAAGATGAACGAAGCTCTTACGGGGTTGGTACAGCATGGGGGTGAGTAATCAATTACTTAATTTTCATTTTTGGGTGAACTAACCCTTTAAATACTGATCCGTAAAGAAATATATAATGTAATTTTGGTTTATAATACTAGTAGCCTAGTAAAGGCTAGTAACAGTAACCAGTTACAGTATTGCATCAAACAACATAGCAGTGTCTTCCGCAACAATGACTACTGTGCCAGTCTCTGTGTTTGAATGATAACCTTGTTAAGTCTGCTATGTGTCAACAAGTGTCAGTCAGCCTTTTCAAAAGCAATTTAAGAGTGACAGGTGAATGCCAGGTATTGTTACTCTGATTGTAACAGATGGAACACTGTCTGAGGATGTGCGGCACTTCATATCAGCATGCCAGCTATTCAAGTGTCAGTCAGCTGGGTCAATAAACAAAGCACTTTTACTTTCCAAATAATGGAACAACACTGGATATTACCATAACTAATAAAACATTTATTTCACATCATATTTGCAGTTTCCAACAGATGTGTCGTGTAATTAATTATTCTGATAACAGCAACATTGACTTTAAAATTTTTTTATTTTATTTTTTTGTCTGTAAAATATAGGAACTGGTTTACTCCTGAATGTCTCAGAAAATGGAATGTCACACTTTATTGTCCCCAAGCAGTTTAGATTGTCTCCAACAAAATCTAAAATGCAAATAAGCCACACATTTTCAAATAATTAATGTCATTTAACATTTAGCTGTGTATATTATTATCTGACAAATATTTCATTTTTATGTCACTCCATATCCAGACAAATTAATGTGAGCTCAAGCAGTTTGTTCCGAATGTTTCATGTAGTGACCTACAGTCATATCTTGTACTTACAGTTAGATCAGAACATGTAAGGGAAAGGGATTTTGAGGATCAGGACCACGCAGGCCGTGGTGATGCCCTGTTGAGTTTAACGGTTCCTGGTTTAGCTTTGTGAGGACTACTTCCAGGTCTAGAAGTCTTCCCTGTGTACATGGAAAGACAGGAGTTGTACTATTGTTAGCATTAACAATTTACAATTTATTTAACATTTAAATGAACAATTTTGCAGTAAATGATATGCACGCAGCTAATCAACATAAAAGTTGTCTGTGTTCAAATACTGTGGCTATATACTCTTGTTTATCAGTAAATAGTGGGGAAAGACCTACCCAACACTTAATAAAAAAATCAGATGGGACTTCAATTAAAAGTAAAGTCAGTTGCAATGGAAGATTTTAATTATCACTGAAACTAAACAAGTAAAAAAACAAAAGAATCACATCACAAATGGTACTTAAGGCCAAGAGACTTTACCAGAATCAGTTAAAAAAAAAAAATGTTTGTTTTTTCTTTCCCCAGAGGAGGAGGAGGATGCAAACTGAATGCACTATTTTGAAGAAACAAAAAGTATATCTGATATTAGGAAAAGCAGAAATAATTTGTTTATTTCTGGAAGCTGAATATGTGCTGATGTAATGGTGATGTAATGGTGATTACATGCAGACAACTGAACATGTCTTCATTCAAAGTGTCTCATGCAAACTTCAGCTTAAGTTTGTGTTGTGTGTGTGTGTGTGTGTGTGTGTATGTACCAGATGTCTTGGTGGACTTGAGCTTGACCGGTGGAAGAGCTGTAACGCTTGTTCCCATGTATCGGCACTGCTGTTGATAATCAGCTAGCTGCTCATCTCGGGTCATACCAGGAGTGGGCTTCACAGATTCTAGACGCTTCAGGAATGCCTGAAAGAACAAATATTTAGGTCAGAAATTTAATTCTCTTCCTGAACTAAATTCAACATTTGGGCTTGCTGGATTACAACATGATTTATTAACATCTATTATTAATAAAATGATGGCCAAGGATGACAGTTATATAGGTTGGCCAAAATGCTTACAGAAAAATTAATAAACAATACATAATTAATCTATTAATAATAGTTAATAATAAATAACAATGATTTACATAGATTTTTCATTATATAAACATTAAAACAAATTAAGGACATATTAAAAAACAACAACGATATTAACAGCATGAATAGTATAATAATACTTAATCATTTATTGTTTTTTAACATAAATATTTTTTTCTCCACAGCCATGTTAAATGTTAATTAAATAAAAATTCCACAATTCACATGAAATAAAATAATTTAATATATACTATTGAATAAAATATACCATGCCATAAAAAATGTTTACAATATACTACAAAAATACTTTTTTTTTTAAATGTGCACATAAATTCACAAAATACCACAATGGCCCTTAAAAACATATTTCCTTTTATTTGGGATGAAATATGACAGATAAAAATTTTCGTGACAGATTTTGTATCATTAACCCTAGAGCTAAAAGATTTTAAGACATCCATGAACTTGCATTAACTTGCCTAAGACAAGATGACCAAAGAAGAGATTAGCATGACTACAACTATGAACTCTGAAAAGCCACAGTGAACCATTGAGAATAAAAATAACCCGTGCACAAGGATCAGAATGTCACAGGCTGTTATGTTGGTACAAATACCCCTTTGGAAACCACTCAGTAAGCAAAGCCCATGAAATGAGCTGGGACTGGAAATAGAGTAAAGGTGAAGATAGAGGTCAGCTCCTTCAGTGCTCTTAAAGAAAGAGAGTGACTGTCTTCTGTTCCAGCATTAGTTGCTAGGTAGTAAAATGCTAACAAGAGTTACAAGACCTAGAGGAACACGAAGTCTGAGTCAAAGCTCGAAGTCCCTGCTTCTATTGATTAAGCGTTTTATTTTAATTTTCCTGTTTTCTGCAATAAAAACTGACAAAGGAACTGACTCTGTAAGGCTCTGTGAGGATGACCAAAAGAGAGAGCGGGAGAATATGCATGCGTAATAGTAAACAAGGAAGGTTAAGAGAGCACAAAACACAAACACAGATTATGTTGCTTCCAAAATCAAGGAGCTGGAGAGATCCTCATCATTTACTCGCCCTTGTGTAAAAATGTAATTTGAAGAGTTGCATAATACTCTCTCTATCTCACACTGAAGCTTAGATGAGGAAAGCACGGGGCTGAATTCAGTATAATGTCAAGACCAGCATGTGCGCAAAACTGCTTCCACCTGTCTCTTCTCGTCTCAGTCAGGTGGTCACTGTCTCTCTGCTTTCACTGGCTGTGGCTGACAGCGCCACCTAAACCATGCACCCTTTCACTTAAATAAACACTCGCACAGAACACCATTACATGAATGAATAATATCACCAAAGAACATCTGGTGATACATACTGGGGCATCTGAGTAGAAGAGCACTGTAAAC